TATATATATATATCCAGAATAAATGTTTGACTATGATAAAGTTTTGATCATAGATCCAGATGAAAAGGCATATAGACCTTCCTCCACTCAATCACTCTCCTTCCCCTGTTTTTGTTTAGTCAAATGAGATGTAAATGTTTCCTTGTATTTTCATGACATTATTAGGTTTAATAAGTTTTGGAGACTCTGTAGTTTGTATTACAAATCCACGTGACTTAATTGAAAACTTTCAGTGGGTGTCACAAGAGCAAAATGAGTAGAAAAAAAATGAAAGTTTATGTTTTGTTCATTTGAAGTAAAAATAACTGCTAAAGTTTAAATAGATATTTTCTTAACAAATGTGTAGCACCAACCACAATCGCAGTTTAGCTAAAAAAAGATTACTATCCTTGGCAAGTCTCCTTACCATAATGCCAATAAAGGCTTTTCCATCTACTACTGGAAAGGATGTAAATGAGAGAATTTCTTGAATTACGAGAAATTGTGCTTAAATGAGGAAATAATATGAGTCATGTGTAAATATTTTACAACGTACACATTCATGCTGTCCTTTAAGTTTGCTTGATTATTTTCTTACCCAGTAGGTTTCAATTCATTTATTAATAATCAGATAGCAAAAGATTCCTTATGGGGATTTTATACTGAATTTAAACCAGTTGAAACTAAAACTTCCACTTATTGAGTTCTGGATAGAGCATTTTGACTTTTCTTTTTATCTTTTATATATATATTTATATAGTTTTTTTTATTAATGTTTTAAGGTCTTTTAAAATGTTGGCATTTTTACTGCTCTTAGCAACACAGTTGGTTGCTCTTATGATTAATGGTGCACTCTAGAGTCTCTATATTCCAGTTAAAGATTAATCAAATACTAAATTTGTTGATGATTATTTTAGTAAATGATTAATCATGATTAATCCTATTATTTGTTTCAGCACATAATAGGTAACAGGGCCCCCGCCGATACTGGTATTGGTGCAACACTAGTTAAAACATGTTTCTTTTGAGTGTTTGTTTTTGGTTTAAAGAGGCAAGCAACAGTTCCACCTTAACTCTGAAAGCGGTTTAACTGTATTCACACCAGGAAGGACCTTTTGCTCTGTTTATTTGGTCCAGACCAATAACGTTACATTTTTTTTTCTTTCTTTTAGATTAGGTTTATTTATTCTAAAATTTTGCTTTTTGGAAGTACACTTTAACATTTAACAAAGCACTGTGTGTGAAGAGCGCTGCTCCCATAGGACTATGGGAGTCCTTCATGCAGCACATCTGTTTGCATATCTCTGATATAGTTAGAGCTGCAGAATCATTAATGGAGTGAAGAGCAGATCATTTATTCTAAACACATTTGATTTTTAATTTACAACGGCGACCGTGTTGGTGGCTGAGGAACAGATGGCTGATTAAATAGCATTTTCTACAATGGTAGCGCGCTAAAGCCGGACATACTGTACAATTTTTTTTGGCCTATTCAGGCCTCCAATGGTGCGAGAATTTTTTAGATCTTGCTAACTTTTAGCCTGATCGTGCGTCATGTAATGCGCAGGGGGTAACGAGGGACGATCAGCCTCTAACAAGCTCCTGCTGATCAGGAATCGTAAGGTCGGGAGTAAATCAAACATGTTTGATATTTAGTCGGCTGTCGTAACGTCGCATCCGAGCGTCGGGCCACACAATGTGATCTCATACATCGTGAGCTGTGAACTTTTAAACCCTGTGCTTTCCTCATACAGTTTGTAGCTACGTGCAATGATTGAAAAATTGCACGGTGTATGCCTGGCTTAATCCCAAGAAGTAGAATGACTGGAAATACCCAAACCAGGGTTAACTCGAGTCTATTTAAACCTGGACAAATAATTTTGCACCAAGAAGGGAAATGAAATCCAAATGCGTGTGAGATGGCAAAAGATTAGGGTGATGATAAAGAGGCCTTCTGACTACTAACTAGGACTGTACAACATGATCAAAACTCATATCACCATATAATAATTACGATTATATATATTATAAAATATAGTACCGTAATTTTCGGACTATAAGCCGCAACTTTTTTCCCATTTTTCGACCTTGCGCCTTATATAACAACGCGGCTTATCTATGGACTTTTACAGCTAACGGCCACTAGCGTAATACCTAAATCTATGGATTTTACCATCCACCATGTTTACGTCACACTTGCTTCAACACACAAGTATGGTAGCCGCGCGCGGGGGGAATCCTCCAAAAGCAGACTTCTACCGCGAGTGGTACGAGACAGAAAGACGGACATTAAACATAAATCATACATTAATCATACATATCCGGTGCGGCTAATAGTCCAAAAATTACGGTAGTTTTAATATTATTGTTATAAACAGAATAAAAGCCTCAGAAAGACCGCCAAAAATGGCCACAACAGATGCCTGTAAAAACTCATGATGATTATCTTTGCCGTGTTCATAAAACTCAGTCATCATCACAATATAGAAATATTTGTTTAAAAAACTGAAAAAACACATTAAGCTACATAAAAAGCAGAGCCTCTGGCAGTTACAAATTCTGTTAACATAATATATATATTGAAATATATTATGTCACTTCTCTGCTTTTAATTGTAAGACTTTGAGCCCTGTAGGACTAATTGTTTTAATTACTGGTGCAAACATTTAGAATGCTGCTTATCGATTTACAAGAAGGGGTTGGATTGTTGTAATCCCACTCAGATTTTCTCTTTCAATTTTGGGATTTTACAGTTTTTAACATTTAAGAAAAAAATAAACCCTATAACTTTCTATGTGTGTATTTTAAAGCTGATAATCTTTATTTTTTATTTTTATTTTTTAACTTTTTCTATTGTGTGTTTAGTGACACCAGTCCTTCCTTTTTTATTCTAAATCTGCTAGAGCTGTATTGATTCATGAACATAGTATTTAATTTACTCATAAATATATATTCTTAAAATATGCATTCAAATGGCTTACTCTTTCTGTGTCATTCAGTCCTGAAAAACAAAGGGACTTTTGATCTTGCATCCGTTTTAAGCTTCCAGAGAACATCTTATTTGCATGTAATAACCCAATATGTTTTGACTGCAGTGCTGTTTGGAAAATGGACGGACCACGTAAAGAGCTGGAGACATGCAGAGCTAGGAGACAGAATACTTTTCATCACATACGAGGAAATGGTTCAGGTAGTCCTCTAGAGTTTCTGTCAATGTAATCTTTTCTCACTATCACATTAAAGCCAGACTTCCTGTTTCAAGCTTTGAATATAGAACAGTGGTGCACTGCATGTTCTATCCTTAGCCTTCCTCTTTAGTTTTCTTTTTGCAGGAAATACTTTATTTGTAAAATTGCTATAAATGGTTACTCATTTCCATACGTCTTTGGGATTTTTCTAACCACCTCGATGGAGAAGTTGTATTTTTGTGTGTTTCTGTCCAGACTTGCTGACCTTCATTGTAGAATTGGTGAAGAGCGTGCTAATGTTGGCACACCACATTATAACCACAATGTTCAATGTATTTTACTTTAGTGTCTGCAGTATGTGATGACTATAAAATTGTGCATAACTTTGAAGTTTATCTAAGCTTGACTGTTTAAAGAACTATTAATCTCTTGTCCAGGACCTGTCTGCATCCATCAAGCGCATGTCCGACTTTTTGTGCTGTGATCTCAGTAAAGACGTCATCCAGAAGATAGCAGAGCATTGCTCTTTTCGGAGCATGAAGGCCAACATCATGTCCAACTTTAGCCTGGTCCCAAAGGAATACATGGACAATGAAAAGTCTCCTTTTCTCAGGAAAGGTGAGCTTCACCCCATCTAATTGTTGCACACATGGGATTAGTTTCCCTTTCAAAGATGTGTTGTTTCCCAAACTTCTTCCCTGATTTGTTTTTAATGACAGGAATCGCAGGTGACTGGAAAAACCACTTCAGCTCAGATCAACTGGCCCGATTCAAGTCTGTGATTAACAGGGAGTTGGAGGGAGAGAAGTTCCCGCTGCCATGGAGTCTGGACTGATCCACACAGAGTAATGGAAGAATGGAGGAAAAACAATCAAGTCCTCCTACTAATATTAGAAAATAAGAATTTTGTGCAAACAGCAGTGAATTTTGTTTAATATGAGTCTTAGTTTTTAAGTATAAAAGTAACTATAGTACTTTAAAATATGAATTAAGGGAACACTTTAACAGCTAATCACTTCGATCAGTCCAAGTTTTAGCTAACTACAGTTTAATATTAATATTTTGAGCTTCCCTGAAGTCCACGCTTAATGCATTTATCATCTGTATAATGAGATCATAACCACAATGTAACAATTAGATAATAATACATATATATTTGACAAGTGTGACAAGTAAAATTTAAGGGAACTCCAACTTATTTTTTCCATTTGCAAGTCAAAGCAAAATTACAAAATGTTTCCTTCTTCATTCTCCTTCTACATTCAATATGCATTTAAAACCGGAAGCTTACATACACTCCATATCTTTTTCTTATTCTCTGATAATTCTTTTTTTTTTTATGTCATTTTGAATTATCAAAACTATTTCTGTTTTATAAATGCGAGATTAATAAATCAATTTGGTTTATTACCTTCTTTAATTTCAGAGGATTACACATATTTATTTAGCCTACAGCTTTGTCTATAAACTGTACAACTTGGGTCAAAGATTTCTGGTGTATGGAGCTAAATCAGGGCCATAAATTTCGTTTAAAGGAAATGAAATTGACTCCAAAAAAAAATAAAAAAATAATTTAAACATGAAGAAAAAACAGTCAAAGTGGCTGTGGTATAAAATCCATTGTACCCAGTTCCACGCCTATAGAGGACCAATCCTGCCATAATTTAAAATAAATAAATAAATTAATTAGGGTTTTAGGGTTAAATAAAATCTCAAATGTTGTTTTCATTTTATTTAAGTAAAAGGATGAGCAGTGATTACTAATCACTCATTTTATTTGAGTCAAACAATGCAGACACATTCTTAAAATGAAAAAGCATTTCTGGAAATGCTTTTTCATTTGAAATATGGTAACGATTTGCTTCCATAGGGAGTAGGTTGTTCAGCCACTGTGTTGAATATGTTTGTCATGATTTCACACACCCGTCATCTTTTTTTCTTTTAATGAAAGATGATAATGTTTCTCTAAGCAAATATCACTGTCATCAAATGGAAATCCAGTCGATAATGGCTACTAACATAAAAAGGTTTATTCTTATATCTGCAACAGGAAAATAATGGGTGCATGTTTTGTACAGTGTTTAAAACATAACTTTGATATGTCCTGTTAAATTTCACATTTTAATAAAAATATTTACATATATCTGCTGTCCTCTTTTCCAGGATGTTGGATTTAGCTTATTTTTAAATGTTCTATATGTTTTATGATAGATTATTTAATTTTTGCCAGATTTATGGTGAGTTTTTATTTGTTTTTAGCTATGCTCTACATGTAAACACCTTCCTAAGATGCCCTGATATTAAAAGTCTGGAGTACAGTATTCACTCCTCACAGTGTGTATGCTGGCGTAGTAGTCTAGAAAATTCTATACACTACAACAGCCTATGTAGCTTTCTAATATATTTGAAAAGACAGACATTAAATATAGTTTTTAACAAAACTCTCAAATACAAGGACTGTCTAACCACAATGACTGAAAAGATGCCTGTCTTTGCTGTGTAACGAGGGGATGGAGGCTCCTGGTTATCTTAAGTGGTCATTTTACAAGAGGCAGGGTACACGCTGAATTACAAAGTTCTTCATAGGTAAACCCTTTGTCTACTGTTAAGGCTAGGCTTAAAACTTTTCCCCTTTATAATAGTTTCCTTTTGGAAAATAATTATAGTGTGGTTCAGGTTATCCAGAGCTATCTCTAGTTAGGCTGCTATTGCCTTCGGGTGCTGGAGAACATAGGAATCCATTTTTATATTCTGCTTCATAAAAACTCTATTCTCCCATTCTGCAGTATTTGTTAGTTGAGCCTCTAACTTGATGTTCTCTCTGCTTTTTCTCATCATAGTAGCTTTATCTCGCCAGTTCCTGTTTGCCTGTGATACCGCTTTCAACACCTTTGTTTATAGATATTGGAGCTTGGCCTGTTCTGCAGTGTAGTCCAGTTTATCTTAGTGTGATTAACTGTATCTGCTCTCTTATGTTCTCTGACATGGGAGCTGGCTCAGAGCTTGTCTGACTGGCTATGTTTTCCCGGATGGCGCTTGTTGTGGAGCTGGTTGAGTTACTTTTCTGTCTACGCTTATTTTTATATGTCTGCTTCTGTCCCCTTGAGTTCCAGTCAGCCTCTGCAGATGGCCGCTCACGTGGAGCCTGGTTCTGCTGGAAGTTTCTTCCTGTTTTTCCTCTCCACAGTTGCTGCAAGCATGCTTGGTGTGAGAAATTGCTTAGGAGTCAATGAGTCGATGCAATCATCTGCTTTTCCGTAGAAAGAGACTTTGAACCAATCCGACTGTATGATTTTGTTGAACTGTCTTCTGAAGTGCCATGTGTTGTAAATTGGTGCTATAAATATATATATAAACTGAATAGAATTGAATAAAGGTCTAATTAGTGTTTTTTCCCTCAGTGTTTTCCCATATTATTTGCAAAGGACATGTAGAGCTCCCTTCCCTCTATGAGCTTTATTGCAGCTGATAGTTTGTTCCTCCTTGCAGGTCTGCTGAAGTTCAGCAATATTTGGAGGTCATCTTGCTCCGTTGTCTTCGTTGCTGAAATACCTTTGGTGTTGTGGGTAATTTTCCTGTGGTGAAAGACAGACTATTGCCAAGTGACTCTGACACATGGTTCCTTTGTTTGGTGCAATAGCTGTCTCTGTCTATGCGTCGCTTGCATATCTCCCCCCACAATGGGTCCATAGTTGCATTTGAATAATTGCTCCATTGAAATATCTGTTTACGTTTAGCTTGTACCCGGCACTAAGATAACTTAACTTCTTCAACCTTGGTTCGATTTTGCTCATCCATATTTTTCCCTTAAGCATTTACAAGTTGTTTTCCTTTGCAAAGCAAATGTACCAAGAAAAAGAGGGCTTTAGTTTTCAGCATTCATTTTTAAACTCAGGGAGGATCCCATGAAGGCCAGGGAGGAGCTGAAACAAAGACGAAGCCATATAGGCCAGTTTAAAGGTAAAACAATTTTTTTTTTTTTATTGTTCCGTCTCACAAAAACTGTCCAGGTCCCTGAAGCAGACAAAATATAGTATTTTTCTTTCGTTTGAGTTAGCTACACTGAACCATTTCTTGTACTTATAATTTTATTTTCTTAAAACAATTTTTGGGAATATTCTTACAGAAGGAAAAATATGATTTTTAATTATGTTGAGTTTTTATCTAAAAACTCCCATATATAATTCTAACATGTATTCACGTAAATTTTTATAAAAGAATTTCAAATATTTTATCATAACTAACACTGTATTCAGATTATCTCAAGACAGCTGAATTAACACTTATTTAGTTTAATCTTATGCAACACCGAGGCATTTTCCCCTAATTTTGATAAGTGTCTCCATCTTTGTATGCTAAATTAGTTTTTTTATTAGGTTTTGTATTTCCAATTTTCTTAACAGTTTTTTAAGCAGATGATCATTATCCTTTTTACTCAAAGCTATTGAACACTGGCGGCACTCATCACTGGGTCGGGATTCGGCAGTCATCAACAAGAGCACATATGCAGGGCTGGATTTATCTGACGGCTGCAATAGACTGAAAGAAAAATGTTGAAGTTCTCCATTAGTCTGGTATTTAACCTGTTGTAGTTTAAGAATGCAAAGAAAGACAGAAAATCTTTTATAAAAAAAATAAGAAAATATAATTTATTAATGTGTTTTACTACTAATTTCTTAAACCTAAAATAATACTCTTAGTACAGCTCCTGATCCTTCTGAGATGTTATTGGTGCTTGGTCATCCCTGAACCATAGATAGAGGAAGAGATCTTCCTATGCGTTTTTTGTTTTTTTTGTTCACAAATGTAAAGTCACTGCTGCATTTCTAAGCAGAATAACAGTAGACAAGTTTGGACACATCTGTAAGTATATGAATAAACAAACGAAAAAGAAAAAAAGCCTGCAAATTTAGTTAAAAGTTTTTTTCCGATGCATAAAAACAAATTCCCATTTTGTTAACAATACAATATGTCAAAAAAGCTCATGAATGTCTGCCTTCTTACAACAAAATGAAGCTACACTTAACAATATAAAGTTTAGTGGTAATACAAGAAAATAAACGTCACAATGATAATTTTCAAATACAATGTGCACAGATTTTTTTTAAGCTAAGGAAGGATGAATTTAACTCTGAATTAGCAGTGATCCACAAAAGATGGATTTAAATTTATCTCTAAAATTATTTTTACTTTCTGCAATAGAAAAGAACTTCTGGATATAATCTGATAGGGATTTATTTGTTTGCTTTGTGCATTTAGTTAGTTTATGATATTCAAAATATTTAAATTTCATTATATTTGATTTGATGAATAGTGGAATATTATGGTACACAATTGTTTTTATTGTAGTTTTGCAAGTTGTTCCCTATAATTCCACAGAGTATTTGAAATAAGGGTTAATCAGAGAGTAACACATTAAAAACAAACCCTTAAGATTTAGCATGTTCTTGGTTTTATGTAATATTATTTTTGACTTTTCATTTTAAATATTCTATATTTTGTTTCCAGCTTAGTTTTTGATCAGTTACTCCCAAACATCTTTTCTCCCAAAGTTTTTCAATATAAACATCACAAATCTTTAAATTTATGAGTATCATTCTCTTTTTTCCAAATACCATACATTTTGTTCTATCTGTATTAAATGATAGTTTATTAACATCAGACCAGACTTTGAGTGCTTCCAGCTCCTTTTCGATTTTATGTAAAAGTAATTTTTCTTTCCTGAGCAATGCAGTTAGACTTAAACTTTATTGCAATTTTGTAAATACAGTGTATACAGAATGAAATTTTGAAGCATACAACTTTCAACAGTGAAATGAACATTGCCATTTATAAAGTGCAGCAGTGATCAAGAATGTAGTGTGGGGGGAAAAGGAAAACCAATTTAAAGTTGTGGTGCAAAAGGCATTATATGGAAAGGTTTAGTGCGGGGCAAAATTAATAAATATGGTGCAAAATGCAGTGGAACATTGAGTTGTGTTCTATCTAAGGGGATCATGAAAAAAATCGGCCACGTTGGTAGTGCAAATGTTATGTTTTTAAGTGTGATGCAAAGTCTTGATTAGAGTTTCAACAATTCAACAGTCTGATGACAGAACCTGCTGATCCTGCAGCGAAGCTTCTTCCCAGAGGGTAGCAGGGAATACAGCAAAGATAATACATTTCAACAACTGAGAAACTTTACAGATATAAGTTTTATAAGTAGGATAAGGTGGCTCAGTAAACTGCCACAAAAACAAATCTCCCTCCTACTGACGGGACGCTGCAAACACAATCTATTCTACAGCAATAAGTTGGATTACTTTTTAAAATTTTCCTTAGGAGTCAAATCTTACAAATAAATACAAAATGTACAAAAAATCTCTAAAGAAATAAATTGCTATGTGAAGCGCTTCATATTTATTTCAGATGCACTTTATTTATTTGGCTCATTTGCCAAATATTAACATTTCAGTGTTTTGAAATGTAAACTTGAGCCCCTTAATTCACAACACATGTCATCTCAAGGCACTTTACAGTTCACTAGATCATGCAGTCAAATTGATTCAAAATTTTA